AGAGAGAGAGAGAGAGAGAGAGAGAGAGAGAGATATCTAGCTATATATATAATTAACATTTAAGAAAATTATCTTCCAATAAGATTTGACCAAAAAGATTTTTGTCTCCATGTTTCTAAAACAATGATATTTATTAGGTGCTGAGGTCTGCTGGGTCTGATTGCTACATCTTTCGATGAGCTTAATACATAGCTGAAGCCAGCACATATGTTAAGATGCATGTGTCAATACAAACACAGTAGCCACTGACACACGGCACAAAAAAGAGCTAAATTATTCAAAGCAAATTGTAGGATATTCAGACAAGGTCAGTGGGCTGTGAGGGTGGATGTCGTACACATATTTACTACAAGATTCTCCGCGGCACTCCTCCATTGTCTCTGAAAGTGAGAACACAGATGTAAAGAAAATGCGTCGTTTCTGGGTGATCGCTCCTTTTGTTCTTTCAATGAAACGTGGATTATTCACTCCTGGCTGCACATAAATGAAAGTAATTTGGCAGCTCAAAAAAAGTCACTGAGAGGTCTGTAATATTGTGAAGAGTACATCTCACATAATCATTGTTTTCCTGAAAAGCACAATATTGAACTCATTCTATGTGGCCTGTCTCTCTGATGTGCTTTTAACATAAAGCTACTTAGGTTTAACTGTAAACAATCAATAAGCAATGAGTCCGGCAGTTACCTACCACTAGAATTTTAATCTCTTTTAATGGACTCCAGATAACAAGGGCTACAATTGAAGTTACAGTGCGAGAACTGATCATTAAATGATTTATCCTTCCTTTTCACATATGTGGAAATCCGATTATGTCTCTTAAGACTGATTCTGAATGACTCTTGTCGGCCATCTCCTATATTAAAGACCTATTCACACTTCATAATAATTTCCTGCATTTTGCTACATAAAAATGTATGTCAAGTAGAAATCTCATTCTTTTCTATGTGGATGATTCACATCTATGCTCTGCAGTTTAGTGTGAAAGACAAAGGAAGACTCCATGAACCCATTCACACCTACATGTGAGAATTGCCATTAGAGCTGCATAGAGTAGATCTTGGTATACACCAAGACTGAGGCGCACGCACATTCGAGCGCCGCCATCTTGGTGTATACAAACATCTACTCCAAAATGGTGGCATGCATGCACAGAACGCTCATACAGCATGTGATGTCACAGTCATGTGACGTCATACGCACTGCCTCCAAGATGGCGGCGGGCATGCGCAGAACACGTCGGTGGCAAATATGACCGCCGGCGTGTTCTGCAAAATGAATTTATGTATGCCGAATATCGTTTTAGTATATTCGGGCATATATTAAATTTGTTATTTCGGATTCGGACGAACCGCTGAATCAACTGATTTTCGTTGATTTGCAAGTTCGTCCGAATCCGAATGCACATGTCTACTTATTATTATTGAATGAACAATCAGGTCCTGGGAAGATCCTTCCTTCTACAGGATAAGCCACCAGCACACCAGGGTCCACTTTATCTTCCCGTAATTCATTAATGTCAGATAAACATGGTATCGAATATAGATGCAACGTTTCGGAACTGTATATGCTCCCTTGATCAGGCAAAGGAATATGTCATACTTTCCTTTGTTTAATATTTAAGTTAAATATTAAGTTACATTTTTTTTAAATGGAAATTTTTGCAGTTTTTTTTAACTGACTTATTTTAGCATGCGTGTGTTAGTTAAACGTACCAAAATACTATACGTGTTCTAAAAAATATCACACCTAAAACAGAAAGACTGTGGGGGAAATTTATCATAGCAATTGCGAGTGTTTGAACTTGCATGGAATATATTTGCACCAGATTTATGCTGCTACTGTAATGTTGTTGATAAATGAGGTTTAATAGCCTCCAGGAAAGAAGACTTCTAACTTCAGGCAAAAAGCTTAACTGTCGCTTCTTGAAGAACGGGTCATGGGGACTTCTTAAGTTGTGATTGTTTTCTTAGGTGATGCGCCAGTTTCATACAGCCGCAGAACAAGTGCAGATGAAAACAGGTGCAAAAAACATGCAATTGAAAAAGTAGTGCAAGCTCAGGGGCACATATTAAATGACAGATTTGCACATGAAAAAATGATCTAAGAGGCTAAAACTGTGGCAATTGCTTTGATAAACACCCCCCTTTATATTTTAAGGGGGGAAAAACAAAATAAAGAAAGACAGCCAAAGAGCTAACAGAAATAGTGGCAGCCGATAAAGCTTCAGTTTCAGATAGATTTGTGTCCAAAATGGGATTTACTCATGTCAGATAACCAGAGAAACTGAATAATTAAATTAAAAACCTACTCAATTAGAATGAGCAGGCTTGTAACATATCTATTGAGGTTACATGGTAAGGTAGACACTAACAGGCGTGTCCCTCTATACGGGAGGTGGATCCTGATCAAAGTCACAGGCGGCTTAGGTATAAAGTGCAATCCAGAGATTTTCTGAAGCTCTTCTGACATCTGTCCTCTTATTTGGAAAAACATGCTAAATGAAACCAAATATACTAAAGCCTTCTCAAGAGAAAATCCAATCAAAGGATCTTAGAGTGTTCAGACAGGGACAAAATAGCTTGTAAGCTAATCATCTGGGAAAATTCATGTAAATCCACCGCCTGTTTCAAATATTGAACAAGTTCTGGGGAGGGAGGAACAAAATCTGTTTCCTCCACTTGAGCTATATGATTAAAAAGAGCACCAATCACCAATGCTGATGTAAAGTCATTTGAGGGGAATATGTGGGAGGACTAGGTACTGCTAAAATGTCTGATACAGTGAGAGTTCTAGTTTATATTTTTAACCTGTCACAAACCTGGGCTATTCAAATTGTGCAAGTGATCCAAAAATGCAAAAGCAGAGAAATTAATGTTGAAACGATAAACAGTACCAGGGTTATAGGATACTGAACTGATACAAATTAGGGATATTCAGAATGATACCAGTACAGATACTTGGAATTTTCATGAAAACTAGCAGGGTTGCAGCTGGCACCTAGCTCTGGCACTCTATCACTGTCCTGAAATCATTAGTCTGTATTGTTTTAGAAAAATTACAAATCTTAACTTTTCTCTTGAGTCTCCCTATTTGTCAGTGGAGACTCCTATCACATTAAAAGGACAAAAAGGTGGGTTGGTAGTTGAGGTTGGGGGAGACAGTTATAATTCTTACAATGGCTTTATTTCATATTATAATTTAAATAAAACTTCAGAAGTAAGCATTGTCACAAGTCCCAACCATTTGGATGACATTTCTGGTCAATCCTCCTCAACACGTAAGATGTAAGATAGACTAATTCTGTAAAGTTGGAGTATCAGGCAGGCAAGCAAGCTGGCCGCCCCGGCCAACCTGTTTGTAAAGCCACACATGCACATTAAGATTATTGGGTCCTAAAGCCAGGTCTTTTGGCAAAACTTTCTCCCCTAAAGAGCACCTGTCATCTAGCAGTTAACATAACAATTTACAGAAGGAGGGTACAGAATTAGGTTATGTCAAGCTTAAAGTGGACCTAAACTGACCAAATTTAAACTCCCTAAACAGTTACTTTCAAGGTATGCCACCTGTCAAGGATGCCAGTGAGCTTATGTCAGGTGACAACTGACATTTGAAGCCGTCAAGTCGTTGGTGTCATAGCTGGTTACATGTGCAGCACCATAGCAACTGTATTCCACATAGATGCTAAGATGGCACCTTCCTTGGCTGTAAAGGATGTAGTTCCACTTTAAGATATTAGCTAAATTAATGTACTTTCAAATCTTTTTGCCTGTGAACATGGTAGAACTAGTAGATTAGGCTGAGCTTATTTCAGCTCTCAACTGAACTTTCAAAGGGGTTGGTGTCATAGCTGATCACATGTGCAGCACCATGGCAAATACAGTCAAAATGGGAAAAGTTGGCTGTAAAGGATAGAAGGGTAGGAGGTTGTAGTTTTGCTTTGAATATACTGGAACGTGAAGCTTTTCTTTTATGGAAGAAAACCTTCACAAGAAAAAAGGAAAGACAGTGTTTGTAAAGCTGGGAAGGAAGTTCACAAAAATCTCTTCATTATCTAACATGTTCCATTAGGTCTGCACAAGTTGCTAAAGCATTGTGCTCAAATGGGTAATGAAACGTTGCTGGAAGCCATATTGTCTGTATAAAACATTCTATAGTTTCCTGAAGGTAACAGTGTTGACATGTCTGTAAAAAATTAGTCAAGGCAACTGGACTTGCTGTATTTTTCTTGAAGACGTTTCACTTGTTTCTGGTTTCACCAGAAAGCTGGTTGGATGACCAGTGAAACGTCTTCAAGAAAAATACAGCAAGTCCAGTTGCCTTGACTTATTTTTTACAGATATAACATGACCTGGATGAATGAGAACCTTCACAGACAATGTTGACATGGATCCAATATTTTTGTCAACTTTCTATATAATGCTAAATTAAAATGATGCATAATGAACAAACCTTTAGCTCCACTGATGACGAGACCCAGTTCAGCACAGACTGATACACAGACGACTTCATGGTCATGGCCAGTCAGGACGGCCCTGGGAGCTGGGTAATCACCTGAAATATTGGAGAAAAAACATTTAAGACTATAAAAGTGTAGGACAGAATACACATAATGGCTTCATTGTTTTCTGGATAAAACCATAAAAACTTAGTTATAAACATTACATTTTCCTATAAGAAAAAAATACACGCAATTTTAGTTATTAAAGAAAACAGTTTTGATATTATTTATAAATCACAAGCAGTAACATGATAAATATATGACCCCACAATCTGCTAGCTATACAGAAGCAAAAAGCAAATAATCAAGTTGCCAGACTATCAGTAATGCATTCATTGCTTTAGAAACATAAATATATAGCATGGAAGCTGTGCTTACTTGTGACTTTAGCAAAACATTTACACTTTAAAAAACACGCTCACCTTTGAGCTATAAATAGCACACATCTTTGGGAAAAATTACCGGTATGCAAAATACATAATTTACCCTGTTTTAAGCACCCACTTGTTTTATAAATCCCCCACCCAGCCCATGTCTGTGTAAAATGACAAGCATGTTTAATTGCTTGCATTTACAGTACAGAATTAGTATCCAAGATCATAAAGGCTGCTGAAAACACAATAGTGGAAAAAAGACAATGTCTGAAACGTAAAAGGACAGAAAATGTTTCATCCTTCCAAGGGACAGATGCCAAGCACTGCAACAATCATTCAAAATTCTGCAACGCATACTGTCACATCCTAAATGATAGATGTAGCACAAGGCTAAAGGCTAAGAAACAAAAAGGGCTTCAGGTGAAGAGAATCTATAGGGAATTGAAACCTCATTGCAGCAAGCTTAACAAATTCAGCAAAAGTGTGGTCATCTAGATATACAGAGGGTCCGATGGGGACATTAAATACGCTGTATACTGTAATCTACTACACAGGAGCCGAGTCGTTCCTAAAACAGACATAAGTTTACAATATGCTTATATTACGTTTATAACATTATTATAACAAAACACTTATCTGTGAAGATGATAAAAGGATATATCTACATATAGATAGAGATCTATCTATCTATCTATCTACAGTATCTACCTATCTACAGTATCTACATATCTACAGTATCTACCTATCTACAGTATCTACCTATCTACAGTATCTACCTATCTACAGTATCTACCTATCTACAGTATCTACCTATCTACAGTATCTATCTATCTACAGTATCTATCTATCTACAGTATCTATCTATCTACAGTATCTATCTATCTACAGTATCTATCTATCTACAGTATCTATCTATCTACAGTATCTATCTATCTATCTATCTATCTATCTCTTACAAGACATCTTGAACAAGCTGTGTAATGCTGGAACCCAGAGTGATCATCCACAGTAAGAGTAACAATTTGTACCAGTGGTAGGTAGAGCCTTCCAACAAAATTCAGGGTCTACAAGGTATCTGCATCAGAGAGTGTCTTTCATAAAAAAAATTATTTTGTAGGACTTTCAGCAATGAATCACATTCAAGCCTACATTGGTAAATGACAGTCAGAGAATGAAAGTCTACATCTAACTGACTGCAGTGGGATAATACAGAGAGTTCTTATGAAGAACCATCTGACAGATGATGCCCACAATGCATAATGGTTCCTGGGATATATATATGCAATATGCAGGAAGATACAGCATCGCCTCCTAATAAGGCAAAGACAGCATTCCCTTTAGACATGGCAGTAATTCACGCTCAGAAGCTGAAGCCCACACCTTTGGTGAGTATCCTGTTGGAAGGAGAGTAATGAGAAATGTCAGGTGAAGTCCCAGGATCAATGGAATTTCAGACACAGGGGACGGAACATGAATAGCATTGATCCTTTTAAAGAACACCAGTCAGAGACTGAACATAATGTATTGCACAGAAAGGCTTTGGAGGATAAGCAGGCGAGTCTGATATACCTACCTGACAAAGAATTCAATCAGCCTTGTAGCAAGCGATGCCTGCTCCCTCTCCAAGCTCTCAAGGCAGAGGCTGCTTCCAATTAAAGTGTGCAAATTAATTTTTATCACTTTCAAATTAGTTTCTGTATTTGTGAAAAGCTTGCTTTTCAGAAAAGGCTTTATGTTCGCTCCTTCTGCTGTGCCAGGGCATCATCTGCCAGTGACACGTCGGGTGAGTTATTAGCTCAATGTATGACACGTATGCTCTTTAATAGTTTAAGGCAGACGTTTGTCTTCCCCAAAACTGGACTGGAAATATCCTTCCCTGACACTATTTCTAAGACAATGGACTATGTGAAACAATGCAATGGTCAATGAAACAAAAAAAATAGTTTTACACTGCCTGATATACTGTAGCAATAGGAAAAATATGGTGTGCCAGTGACATTGGCAAATAGCTTGGAATGAATCAGGGGGCATCCATGTTCTGCATCAACCAGAACATTGTCAAAATGGCAGCAGAATCACAGACATTCCAGCTGCAGGAGAAGTGCGGTTTTGTACAGAAAACTATCAGATAAGGAAACAAAAAAACACTGTGTAGCTTTATCCATTCAACTCAACAGCTTTTATTAATAAATTACATTTCTTTTCCGATGCAAGCAGTGCATCTACCTAAATTTCATTTGATATCAATGTCATGCAATGTCCTGTACGGCACAGTTCAGACTGGGAGAGGGAGAAGCAGCACAAGAAGCCAACCGATCATGTTCCAGCCCCCGTGTACTAACAAAGAACGATTGATAACAGAGTGACAGAGAGATGAGCTAATCCGTCTGCTGCTGCTTCTTTTGCTGTCCAGTCACAGAATGCCAGCGTCAAGACCTATAAGTGTTTCTTAATTGCCGAGGGAAAAAAATCAGGTCTCCAACCCGCCCATATGTGTATTTCATTGTGTATTTAGCAATTTGCCTAGGGTTCAACATAGTATCCAATCAGCTTCTAGCTTTCATTTTCAAAGTTTAATTGATCAAGTTGAAGACAGAAGCTGATTGGTTACTGTGCACAGCTGCTCCCTATTCTGTCTGCTCCAGTTTTAGTAAATTTCCTCCATACAATTTACTTAACTCTAAATATGATCATATGGTCAGCCGGATCTTAAGATTAGATCATTTGTCTATATGGCCAAACCTTTTACAGATAATTCACTTGGCCCTTGATCTAACCTAAGATTTTATGTGGAACCACAAAAGTGAACTTGTTTATAGGAGCAATATATATCTAAAGCTACCCAATTGTCTTCCAGAATTAAGCTATATATGGGTTGATGTTGGTAAGTACTCATACAGAAGCATACTGTGCAACCAAACCACTTCTAAAGGGCAGATTAAGTGACTATAAAACCTGCAGGCAGAGCAGACAATTGTTAAAGCAGGACTCAGATTTATAAGGATTTCCTAGCAGTAAATGATTATCTCTAACATTGTCGAAATCCAGGAGACCTCTCCACTTGCACACATTTCCCTAGAGAGTCAGAGAGCATCACTTATGTGGACTTAAATGTCAATGTCTATTGATCATGGCATCACTTATTGAGACAACCTAAAGTTCAATATTCTGTTAGAAAACAATTTATCTTCATAAAGTGTTCCCACAATCACCGTGTGTCTGCCTGAACAAAACCTGACTGCTGTAAAACAAGAAAACCATTCCTATAGCCATGAATGAAAAAACCATTACAACACAGCTATGAAAATACTATCAATTTCCTCGTAGTAAGCAGCATACCTTCAAACTAAATAATGAATCATACATTTAATGAGTGCAATGAGCTCCGATGACAAAGAAAGTAAATAGAGAGAGGTTTGGCCAGGATACCAGTTAAGCACTTGTCCCTCCTGTCAATAGTGGGTGGTATATATTGGAATTCATGTGTATTTCATTTTCTCTCAATATTTAATTGTATTTCATAGTGAGGGAACACTTATTAGCTCTTGTATTACACTTGGATAATGTCTATTAAAGCACTTTTTTGGGTCTCCTATTTTCTCTACATTTTTCTCACTGTATGGACATGTTTATTACATACGTATGTATACTTCTGTTGATATGGTTTATTTTAGGATTTATTTGAAACTTACTGCATTTTTTTCTGACACAATTGTTTTCCCCAATAATATACAGTAGGTTTGTGATAATATTATATATCCTGTTTACATGTATAGATTTTGGTATCCACTCACTAAACCCAAGTTCAAACTATTAGGACTGCCCAAACCCTGGGTGGAGTATTTTTCTTTATTTTACTGAAACATTTCCTCATATTACACTGGGCCCTCTTACACAATAATCCTCTTAGCGGAAATGTATTGGGTATTTATAAACATTTCTACGGGCTTGAGTTGTAATCAGGTGATTTAATAAAGTATTCTATAGATCATTCAAACGTGTGACCTATAATGGAGTTACTTTTGTTTCTTAGGCCTCCTGCACCCGAAATGGTCGTACAGCATACATGTTGGGCATATTTATCTGCCGGGAAGTCACAGGTGTGGCATACAGCTGGGTGCAGCCAGCCTATACAAAATAAAAGACAAGCTTACTAAAGCAGTGGCTGTGTGGATATATATGCAACTTCCAGTGTTTATATGGGTACAAGGACTTTTGCACTGCCCGAATGCAGAGGGTCTGAGTTCAGGGCAGTGCATACGTCCTGGTGCACAATGGGATGTGTGTATATACCAATACAGCCGTGGCTTCAACCAGCCTGTCATTGATTTGTACAATCTGGCTGTACATCGGCAAATCCCAGGCAGAGAAATACACCCAGCATGTACATTATGTGGCCGTTTCTGTCTGTGTGCAACACGTCTTAATGTATTTTACAGTGTTTCTAAATTAGATGGTTAGATTTAGGGTATGTTGGCTTACTAAATAGAATGTAGGGTACGCAGGCCTGTTCTTCGTGCACTATTGGCCAGAGAAGAGGCCTGTGCGCTTCGAAAACTTGCACTACAATTGATTTAGTTAACCAATAAATGGTATTACCCCAAATCCAAACTTCTACTTGGTGTTGATGACTAACAAGGCCCACCACTACATTGTTTCTTAGAAAACAAACTGATACA